AGGGGAGCAGGAACAGAAGGGCCTGAAAACAAAAGCCAAAGGCAGTAATTCCAGCGAATCTTGTGTGGAGTCCAGCACAGAGTGACACAGAGGCTGTGCTAGAGCAGGCAGGGAGGAGGGAAGAGCCTCTGCATGGAGGATTAAGTTTCAGGACCTTCATTCAGAGGCATTGTTCTTTATTTTCCTGTATTCTGGCCCTCATTGGCCTCCAAGCCAGCAGTGCCCAGGCCTGCATGCCAGTGGGTAAGGAGGGAGTGAGGAGCTGGTGTTGAGCTGGTGTTCCCTGCCCTGTGGCCGATGGCACACCCTCCTTCCACAGCAACTCCAGCCCTTCCCACGGGGAGATGTGTTCAAGTGTGAAAACCACCAAAGCACCACGTGGAACAGATTCCTGGGTAGTGTAGAGCACGTCCCCTTCAAACCCATTGCATCTACATCTCACAGTGCTGTTTGCTGCGTTCTTTAATGAACATTGCAGTGGCAATGAAGCACCAAAGGGTGAAGCTCCCAGGGTGGGCAGTGTCCCTGGCTCAGCAGCCCTGGGGCCACCAGCCCTGTGCAGAGGGCAGGAACAGCTTCATCAAGCATCAGTAGTGAAGACTGGGAAATCAAAAAAGCAAAGGCAGATTAAAAGTTTAGTGAAGTTACTGCAATGGATTACATGGATTTAGTTTATGGGGTATGCTCATTAAGGAGGAAAACGTGGGGTTTGTGTTGTTTTACATGAGCAGAGTTTCGCTTTCATCTTCCATACTGCTCAGTTTGGTGGAGAAGAACAGGGCTCATCTGAGGCCAGAATTTGGCATTTTAAGTTCAGATACAGCTAAATCCTTTTTGGTCCCTAATGAGTAATGGTCCCTATTCATTAGGAGAGTTTGACTAATTGCTTATGGTGGCATCTCCTCTCCTGAACTGATCCCAGACAAATGGATCTTGCACAAGGTGGCTCCTTTTAAAGCTCAGGAACCCTGGTGCTGTTGAAACATTGAGCCAGGTGTTGTGAATGTCATCTCATATCAAAATAAGGGAAAAAAAACAACTTGCAATAATTCATGTTAGGTTTGTAGGGCAACATCCTGCACTGAGACCCACAGCACTTGTGCTGTCTGCAAGACTTCACAGTTCCCTGTCAGGCTCCAGATTTTGGCCCTGGCTGGAGAGCCCAATTTAAGGTGAAAAAGATGTCTTGATAATGCTTAAAATCTTTTTTAAAATGTGCAGATATTTTTTCCAATAGCTTTTCTCTGAATTTTTGAGTTATTCTTTCCTTAAAAGATTGTCTGAGGTTTTAGTTTTAAAAGAAATAATTTTCCATGTGAAGAAGGAAGAGCCATAAGGAGAGTAATTATAATGGCATTTGAAATAATCCGCTACTATTTCTTTGCCAAAACATCCCTCTGTGCTCATGTTTTGTTTTCCCAAGCTCTGAAATTTGTCCTGCAGTTTGCTAATGTTAAAAAGACAGACTAATCTACTGACATATTTCCAGATCAAATGTTTCTGTTTTCTAGCAATAAATTTGGCTGCCCTCCGATAGCAGTGATTTGTTTGAAAACCTAAAAATCTTTAAATGTTGCTAATTGCTCTGAAAATGTTAAATTAGACTTCTGAACAGGAACATTTGCAAATGGAAAATGTTGTACATTTAAACTTTGTAATGCTGGCTTTCCAAATACTCCTTTAATATTCAAATCAGTTGCATCAGTTAAACAAAACCTGTGGTAGATTGGGACTCCCTCTCACTTTTTATTGCTGGCCCTAACACACAAATCAGAGAGGATGTATTTCTAATACAAGAATGTTCTCCAAACCAGTAAATCTGGGATTATCTCTTCGGACTGATTATGTCAAAGCTCTTTAGTCACAGCACTTTTGGAGAGCTAAAAATAAACAGCAGCAGGGTTTATACATTTATTCTCTACCTAAATAATCTGCACGTATTGTGTGTGTCTGTCTACAATGTGAGACATGGTATCTGGACTTAATGTTTATTTATAAGAGCTCTTTTCCTAGGAAGGATTTTGGCAAAGGGTTTAAGCCAAACTGTCTTAAGAGAATTGCCCATGGGATAAAGTCTAGAGCAAGTTGAAAGGGGCTGGGTTCAAACCAGAAGTGTTGGCAGCAGCAGCTTGACAACAGAGCAAAACTTTTGGGCCCTGTGCCTTGAAAATGAATGAAAACTGCTTCTTTTCTTTCTTACCAGTGATGAAACAATCTTATGCCATCAAATACACATAAAGGTAACCCAGATTTCAGTGCCACAGTTTTGCACTGTTAAAGACCTGGAGAATTTTGTGCATTTAATTTGCGTGAGAGCAAACTGAAGTTCTCAAAGCAGCAGCAGGAAGTTGGGCATGCTGTCCTTTGCCTCCTGGCCCTGGAGAGTGTAGGAGAAAAATCTTCTGAAGAAGAAACACTTTACAAAGAATTTTTAGTTGGATATGTCAAAGATCTGTGGATGCCTTTCCATGTAACTCTTGACTCCTGTGCAGTCCCTCCCATTGCACAGGGTTGATGCTGCATGCTCAGGAGAAAATGGAGCCAGGGCTTCAGGTACACAGCAGGTCAGGGCATGCTACACGAGGAAGTAAAATGGGGAAAAAGAAAAATATTCTAAAATCATTTTGTTCTTATTTAAATTCAGCAATGGATTGCTCAGAAATGGTTTGATAAAAGTAGGCAATATAAACACTTAAAATAGTGCTGGAGGCAATAATTCTTGCATTGGCAGAGCTGGAATGGATGGAATTCAGTTCATTCAGCACCTGTAATTCTGCAGTATTGGAAGAAGTGCTGTGTGTTATACCAATAAATCACATGCTGGGACTTCAATTTGGAGCACATCTCCAATACTGAGCCTTATTGACTGAATATTTTAATTGGGAAACAAGGCATTTCCTGACATTACAGAAAACATTGCAGAAATATGCAGCAAAGATACTTTTCTGAGTATATTTACAAATGTAAATATATTCATAATATAAATATGAATGCATACATTTCCCTGTGTTGTGGAATAATGGGAACAGTGTTCTTGGTTGCACAGACTTTATTACCAAGTCTCTCATAAAACATTGTAAAACAACTCTTTTCATGTTCATGTTGGCTGTCACCTGACTTTCTAAAGGTAAACATTGGAAATGTTTGGCAAGTTGCTCTTATTCCTAGTAAAAGAAGTACATTTGCTTTCTTAGAATGAAAGAATTACTGTTCTTAAGAGTGATCATTGTCTGCTGCAGTGTATTTTCTGTAGGAACATGTTTTTAATTTTTCCTTTTGTTTTAATGCCTGTGAAACTGATCCTACAGCCACAGTAATGCATATTTTTGTAACAAAAGAAGGAATGGAGTCCATCCAGTCCTGCTCCCACCAAAAGAGCACTTCTGAACTGGTTTTACACATAACTTGAGCTTTGGGGTTTGATTTTGGGGTTTTTTTTCTTTAATGTATGAGAATAGAGGGTATGGCCTTTATATTCCACTTTGTCTTCCTTGTGTGGTCCTTGCTCAGGCATTGCCTCAGTTGAGGTAGTGCCTGAATTCACACATCACCTGTTCAGAGCAGGGATTTACATGAGGATTATATTTACCTTTTGGTGAACACTATCATCCTCATCACACCCAGCTGATTCTAAGCCCAGTGCACTCAGCTGAAAGGTGTGAGTAGTCTGATCATGGTGATGGGAACAGTGACCCCAAACCCATCACCCAGTGTAGTGGAACACGGACTCGAATTCCTGCTTCACTATCTCTGTTCCTGTACTCAGTTATTCATGGGAGTGTTCTCACACAGGGAAAGACAAAACCTGTTCTCACTTGAAAAGGTAAATCCAGAGTTCCTCTTCAAATTTGATTAAACCAGCGCGCCTGGAAAGTGAGTACAGACCTGGGCTTTAGGGACACTGTTAAGACATGTGAGAAGAGCCATTTGTCCTTCATGGCATTTATTATACCTACAATATTTTTCAGCTTGTTCTTGTAGTGAACTTATATTACAAAATTAATCTTTGCGCTGACTTTACTATAAAAGCTGTGAATTTATTAGCAAGATTTTTTTTTTTTCCAAGTGAAAAGAAGCTATTTCCTTTCCCAAGAACACATTATTCCAGAAGGGAGAAGAGGCAGTGTGTTGCCCACACACAGTATGGCTCACATGCACACACCACTCACAAGGTGTGCAGTGTTCTCACCACAGACTCCAAACCTGTCCATGTGTCTGTCCTCACTAAGCCCTGCCTGGGCTCTTTCCATTCACACAGAAGCTTTCCAGAGACTATAAAGCAGCTTAGCCTGCATGTCAAGTGTAGGGTTTAAACCTTAAAAATCAGCACTGATGCACTTTTATTCTGTGTGTAAAGGCTGTGGGAACACGTCCAGAATTTGGGCTAGAGGACATGTAAAAAACATTTTTTTTTTCTTTTTTATTCTTTCTGCAAGGGGAATTAGTTAAGGATGCTAGAATAGTAATCATGGAGTTGTTTGGGTAGAAATTATTTTAAATACCCCCTCATTCCAACCCCCTGCCATGGACAGGGGCACCTTCCACTATCCCAGACTGCTCCCAGCCCCATCCAGCCTGGCCCTGGACCCTTCCAGGGTTCATGTTCTGGGGAGCTGAGTGTGTTTCTACAATGGGATTCCACATTTGCTCAACTTCCCCTTGACCACCCTGCCTCCCTCAGGCTGTAACCAGTGAGATGGCCATGGTAATACCCTGCTGTGTTAATTGTCTGCAGCTGCAGTAATTAACAAGAAATGTCACCAGTCTGTGTCAGGAGTCTCATACAAAAGCATTCTCTTTATTGCAGTGGGAATTGGAACCTCCAGTCCAAGTTGTGGCTCTCTGCAGACTCCACGTTTTGTTTTTAGCCAGAAAAAGACAATTCTGTGTTTGAAGGTGTCATAATGATTGCTACAACTCCAGACCCCAGCTGGAATTCCTTGTTTTGGGATGGGGAAGCCTCTTTGGGGTTGCTGATAGCATTTCTTGTTGGTTTTCAGCCACGTGACACAGACCACGTCCTGGATCCACCCCGTGACGAGCGCCCTGAGCTTGCTGTGCTCCGAGGAGGAGGAGGATGGCATCAGAGACCCCAAGAGCTGAGGACAGCTGTGCACACAGAGGAGTTGGTCTGGTTTTAGTCCCTTAGTGAGCAGATGCACAGGTTTTAATCTACCTGCTTTCTAGTGTGATGTAGTAGTAGCTGGTGACATTTCTCCTCATCAAGCTGGAGGAAGTTCTGCTGGTTTTGAGGCGGGTTTGTTGATGTGTGCTACAAAGGATGCAGGTGCCACAGAATCAGTCTCACCTTAGGGCCCAGTCCCACCTTTTCATGATTTCCCCACGGACCCATCATTTCCCTGACCTGGAGCAGAATTTTCCAGGTCAGCTGAAATTTTCACAGCTCTGAGCAACTTGAGATTTAAGGTGGGATCACTGGTGGTAGATTCCAGCTGATGGTTGACTGAGAGATGCAAAGTGATGTGAGGCTTTTGAACCAAGGTTAGTGAGAATAATGGGGATAATTTAACTGCAAACTCATATTTCTATGGGAAAAATCTTCAAATAAGTTTTGCTACTAGAAATTTAGTGATTTATTATGAATATTGGAGCCCTGATGACTTTTTGAACAAATACTTACTAAGATTGGTTGTTGAGATTTAGAAAATGTGTCTTTGATAAGTTGTCAAGTAAAAAGAAAGTTTTCATAGAGGACATCATAATCTGACAACAATATGAGGCAATATGAAAATTATTCTACTTTTGTACTCTGCTAAACCGATACAGACACACATCAAATACTTCAGTGGAAGCTGTGAAGTTTCAAGTACAATGAAACCTGTGAAACCACCTCCAGGATCAGCAGAAATCAGTCACCTCCTCAGAACTGGTCTTTTAAGTGGAACAAAATCATTTTGTACACATCAGTGATGTTTTAAAGAGGATAAAGAAAATGATGGGGGGTACAAGTTAATGAACAGGTTTCTGTGTACCTCAATAGCACAGGATATTTTAAATCTCATTATTCACAGCACAATGTCTGATGTCAGCTTTGTCAAATCTTTGATTCTGTGCTGCATTTTTCTGGAGGCTCTTTCTGTGTGTGTTGTGTATATAATGGTGGGTGTTACTAATGAATGAGACAGACCTGAACCTGCAGAAGCACCGATGGATATGCCGAAGGAAATCTCCATCTCTGCTTCAGTCCAGGAGGGAGAAGGGGATTGTGGCACCGTGAGGAGGGCACAGGCTGCAGTCACATTTTTTCAGGTCTGTCTTCAGCAGGTGTGGCATTGGAGTTAAGAATCTTTGTCCTCTGAGGAATGAATATGAAAACCAGACTCACTCTCAGTTCTGGTGCCTTGACCATGCTCTCTGTCCTCAGCAGTGCAGAGCTGTGCCAGGTCAGGCTCCCTGGAACAGTTGATCCTTTTGAACCAAAATAATTCACCTTTTTTTGAAATCCAAGTCAGGCCTCTGAATAGCAGCCCAGTAATCTCCTGCACTTGGCCAGAGAGCTGGAGAGCACATCACCAAATGTTCCTCCTGAAGCTCACAAAAGAGGCCTTTACAGGCTTTGCAGGAAGTAGATGTCAGGGTATATTGAATAAGCAAATAGGAAAAATTTGTTTTGTACTTTCAACTAGGTCAAACCCAAATTATCTGTGAATCTACACAGGTGGTGTGGATTAGGGAAAAAAAGCTTGCTCAGCAGACCTACACTAACTTACATTTCTAAGAAAACTTCTCCTAGCAATAACACATGAATGGTTTAGCCATATTTGCTCCAGTGGCTCCTGCATGCTCCAGAGCCTCCTTTGTGCTCCCAGAGAGCTCAGGCCAAAGGGACAGGGCACGTGCTTCAGTCTCAGGCTTGGACAATCCAGAAGCATTTTGATTTAAACCCCTTTTCTCAGAATGGCACAGACTCATGACCTACAGAAGATATGTCATCCGAATTCCTTGTGGTGTTTGCTGTAGTAGTCATTTGGATGCTTTATGGCAGCACTTTCTGTTCCTCCTTCAGTGATGCCCAGCCTGCACACAGATTGCACTCCCCAGTGCTGCTCAGGAGAGGGTTGAGCCACCACTGTCCCTTGCAGCCTTGGGGAGCAGCTCCTTAGGGCTGGGAGGGTGGCTCAGGCAGGCCCTGCAGAGCAGGGAGAGCAGCTCAGAGCTGTCCTGTGGATCAGCTGCAGGGCACAGCCCTGCACGTGCTGCCCTGCTGCGCACGGGGACAATCTGCCTGCTCCTCTCACTGCCGCCTCCCACACACCCAGTGCGGCACAAACCTGCAGCCTCGTCCTCTCTCTCTCTCTCTTACAAACTTGCCTAGAAATTAAAGATGTTAGAAATAGATCTCTGCATCTCTTCAGCTGCTCCAGTGAGCGTTTCCCTCCTCAGATGATCCACCAGTTCACATTCTCTGGGGTTGAGAATACATTTTCTTACCTACCATCTCCAAATGTTCCAACCTATTTTTGTACTCTGGTATACTTGTTTCCTAGGTTATTTCTCTTGATCTCCCCTTATCTCTTCCTTTATGTGAAATAGTTTTGTGAAAATTATTTTGCTTAAGCTGAACTGTGTATATTGAGAAAATGATTCTAGCATAACTTGGAACAGGATTTGTAAAGAGCAGTTGTCAACATATGCAGCACTGTAAACGGCAAATTTTCATTTTTATTCCTGAATTTAAAAAATTAAGTGGAAAAGATACTAAAGTGCATGTGATAGCCTTTAAATTAATAAAACTACACCTTTATATTGTAATGAATCTGTCCCACATTCTCCATCTGTTGAAAAGCCTCTTGTAACAGACTGCTTTAGGAATGGTTTGGTTCATTCCTGACACTCAGGAGGTGCCTGGTGCCACTGAGGTAAGGAAAGGAAAATCCTTTAAGAAAAATATTTGTGGTTGTGGAACAGGCTGGGCTGTGCAGGGCTGACTGTGGGCACGACTCTCCAGGAGCTCAGGAAATGCTGCTCTGGCTTGGCTTGTGAAATGTTTCATTTTCTGGGAACTGATGGGAATCCTAACCCTCAGCTCAAGACACACAGGACTCCAAACCAAACTCCAAAATTCAGTGGCCTTTTTGCAAGTGCTGCTCTGAGTGACTTTGGTGTGGCTCTATTTTAGGCCAGCTCAGGAGCCTTTGTTGAGTTGTGTGCTCCTGGTCCTTGTGTGTTCCCAACACTCCCCACTCCAAAGGAGTCACACCAGTGACACCAGTTCAGACTGGCACCTGTCAGGCCAGGCACTGGGGCCAGCTTTGCAGAGATGTTTAGCAGCTTAAACATGTTCGTGGAGTTAATGGGAATTAGGCACCTAACCTACTTAGATGCTGCTATAAATGCTGCTAGGCATGTTTAGGTACCTAAATACCTTAGTAAATCTTTCCCCTGGCTGCTTGCAGTGATAGTGCACCAAAAATCAAATACCAGTGACTAAAGCCTCACCTTTGTCCTCTGTAACCAGCTTTGCCTTTCCCTGAGGATTCTTTTCATGTAACACTAAAAATACCAGCCAGCTCACAGGTTGTACCATCCAGGCTCTGCTCATGTTTTCTGGTGGCTTGATTATTTATTGCTCATTCTAGATTTTTTTCCACCAACAATGGCTGATGTTGGCAGGGATTTAATAGGTTGGTATTTTCACAACACTCATCTAAGATAGGATATTTTATTACAAGATAATACAGGTGTTATTTCAGTTATTTTATTACAAGATAATATGCTGTTTACAGCAATGCTCGAGACTCCAGAGAATTTAGTCCAGCATTTTTCCAAAGCACAGATAAGCTGTGTGCTTCCTTCACCTGAAGAAGGATGTCTGATAGAGACATTGAACTGCAGCTACACAATCCTTATTATTTACTGAGGGCTCCAACAACGGAGGTTGCTGCAATGACCCCTCATCCTGATGAGGAAGAATGCAATTTCTCCAGCCAGTCACTATGGGGAATTTTGGTTTCATTGTTAGGCTTCTTGGCTAAAAGCAAACCATGAAAAATCAGTAGTTTTGATGCTGTTTCACATAAGTCACTATTTCACCCTGACCCCCAAAAGCTACACTCTGATCAGAGCTGTCTTCATCTCCTCTCAAGTACCCTGCCTGTCAGCTACTCACAAGGCAGTATTTCCCTGTGGTCCAATTATTATTATCATCAAGAACTATCCTTGCTCTTGTATGTGAAGAGAATTCATTAAAAAATGATTGAAATGGAAAAAGAAATAAAATTATGTTTCCTGCCTGAAATAGAAATGTAACAATAACAGCACTTCTATGGGAAAGAGAAAGGATCCAAGCAAAGTATTGGGGTTCCTGCTGATGTTTTCATTTTCACTCCAAAGGCTGGTGATGCGTCCCTGTTCCTTTCCAAGCCCACTGTTCCTGAGAACAGCAGGGGCAGGGAGTTCTCCAGGGACAGGGGGATCTCAGGCCCTGGCTGAGCTGCACATTTCAATCTCCAGGCTGAGCCCTGGGGACCCATCCTTGGGGGTGTCATTGGTCACTGTGGGGCTCCCACGCTCCCAGCCACAGACAGCTGCTCATCATGAGGCCATGGCACGAGCAGGGGGGGCCAGGAAGAACCTGCCTGGCACTCCCAGACCATATTACACCATCCATGCAATGCAGAACTCCTGTAAATAATAAAAACACAGAGGATCAGGAAATAGGCCCCTAACTGTTGAAGAATGCCTGTCTTGTTACTTGGCTAATTGAAAGATGCAACCAAAAGGAATTTTGGTACTAACTGAAAATGTGTAAATGCAATTATCTGTTACTCCTTTCTCTGCTCAGCTTTGGGCGTGCAGTCCGGTCCCTTGAGCCTAAACTCTCCTGTGCTTAACCCATTCTGGCTGCAGATGCTGAAGCAGCACAGTCCTGCAGGCTCTGCTGTTTCCAATAACCACTTAGAGTCCTGCAGAGAATGATACAAAAGCAAAAAATGAAATCAATAGTAAATGTTCACTAACAGGAAAACTCCTGTGGCTGGCTGAGGGTAACAGAAAAATGTTTTACTGCTGTGCTCAGAGGCTGTTCGGTACAAAACCCTCAAGTCTGTTTCAGGCCAGATTTGTTATTGTTGCTTGTCCCAATGTTTTGGATACACAATTTAACCCACTTACAGAAAACTGGAGGAAAAGGCCTTGGTAATTTCACCACATCCATAAAAATGCAGGTTCTCGTTTATAAGAAAAGTCAGTATCATCCTGACTATGTTCTGAACAGCAGCTGTGGCTGCTCCCAGGGAGCTGTTCTGGGCCAGGGACGCTTTCCTGGAGCACGGGGGGAATCAGCAATTCAGCTTCTGATGTGGCTGAGGGAAATTACAGCTCTCCAGGCCAGGAGAAGGGCTGAGTTCCTTTTTTTGCTATAGCCAGAAGGGAAAGGGCT